TTATTTCATTATTAAGATTTCTCCTTTATCCTGGTTTTGGCAAAAAGGATTATTCTCAGGGGATAGAAATCTGAATATCTTCCCCCGTTTAAAATATGGTTTTCTGAAATGGTTTCTTCTATATAAATTTACAAATGTATAAATTTACAATGTATCAATACAGGATTAATCAAGAGGTATAAAAGGTATGGGACTCTTTCACTGAACACCTTCAATGCCAATGAATAAACTGTGACATCCTTCTTGGTAATTTAACTTTTTTCAATTATTTTCTCCTCCAAACTGCCAAGATTATAACACCTGCTATCATGTTTTCCATTTTTTATTTATTGTTTTTGTCTGTTTTTTGACTGACTTTTTCATTTTTTTTCATTTTTTTTGTAATGGTGCTTTTTTTTGGGGGGTGGGAGGGAGGTTATACTATTCTTTTGTCTTATTATACAAAAACCTGAGTAAAATATATATATAAAAAAAAAGAATGACTACTGATTTTTCCTGTATGTACAAAATGCACTATAGATGAGCAGTGCAGGGCAATATTGTGAGTATTGCAATTTGAACCTTTCATTCTGTGCAGTTAAAAATAATACAGAGTTCAGTGACGTTAGAGTTGTTTTGTTTTATCATTGTTTTGTTTTATGATAGGAAATCAGGCAGGAAGTTCTCTTCCCCACCATCTTTCCGTGTCTGATCTGTACCGTAGTTCCGCTTCCTGTTCAGGTACACAGTTTCCGAGGCTCAGGTGTGCTTGCTTTAGGCCGTGACTCAGCGTGGGTCACCTTGCGCTTTCATTCTCCACACATTTCTCTCATGCCTCTGTAGGGAGGAGCTGGTTAATGGTTAACTCATTTACGCACAGGGCTGCGGCCTAAATCACTGCATGACGAATCCCTGTCAGAGCCGGCCATGTGTTTGAGGAAGCTTGTCAGCCTTATCTCTTTTCTTTTTTTAAAGGAACCACACAAACAATGTGGTCACATGTGCGTGAATAATATCATCGAGCCAGTGTTGATGATAATGCAGGCTGGGCTTACAGTTGATTACAAAGTTTGAATACTCCTGATCAAATGACATTACCTTCAAATTAGGGCTTCAAATCATAGTGCGTGATTTCAATTTATTTACTTTTATTTGAGTTAAACATAAAAAAAAATTCAACTTAATGAACAAAATGCCCTCATAACTTTCACATAGGCCACATTTTTATTTATTTTTTCAGCAAATAAACAATAGTTGTGCATTAAAAAGTGCAGACGTGTGTAAAATTATTGTCAGAAAATCAATAAAACGTTATTTGATCCAGGGTGCACAAACTTTTGCATGCGACTGTAGTTGAGCGCATCCCAGTGCTGCTCTTGTATTTTCTTTGCAGTGCACATGCAAATGTTTTCCTGCTCTGTGACGTGCATTTAACCTCCTGAAGGGCAATTATCATTATTTCTATTTTTTTATCCATAGAGAACCTTTTTGAAAAGGGTTCTATATAGCACCAGCAGAGTTCTTCTATTGTTACCGGCTTGACATCGTACCAGTAGATGAACTCTTTTCAAAAAGGTTCTATATAGAACCATCTATAGCACATTCTCCATTAATCTGAAGAACCCTTTAAAGATGCAAAGGACCCTTACGTCTTGAAAAGGGTTCTTTGAGTGTTCATGGATCTATATAGAACCATTTTCTTTACTCAGGAGCCCTTGAAAAACCATATTTTTTAAGTGTGTACATCATATGTAGCATGACGATCTTTCTAAACTGTATATCACTGTAGCATTAATGCAGTGGTTCTCAGTCTCGGGGACACCTTCTGTAGACTTTACTGTTTTTTAGCTCTAGAACCTCCATTGTAACCTCATATTTATAATATTAAGTCAGCACTGCTCTACAGTTCTGTTCTTTACATTTTCATCTGCTATATAAAGAGGAATCGCACCAATATTTCACATTTTCAGGATAATTCAGTCTTTCAGAAAGTCATTCAGAATGTTTTGGTGTGAAATGGTTGATTGTAGAGACTCAGATTTCTATACAGTGGTGGTGATAGGAACCAGGGGTCACCATGACTACAACACTAGACCTTTTATTTACTATCCAAAACCACCAGTGAACCTACACAAGTTTTATTTGTAATGATGGTGATAAAAAGGTGATAAATCAGAAAAACTAAGTTTCCTTTGTGTACTTTTTTACCTTATAATGCCCAGCATGTACCTGTCCAGCATAAAGGGATTAAAAAAATGCATTTTCGGCCAAAATCTTCTCAAAGCTATAGTAAAACACTGAGTGAGTTTACATGCACTTAATAATCTGATAACTGCAGAAAATCAGATTTTGTCAGTAATCTGTTCAGTGTGTTTACATACACTTGAGTAATCAGATAATGGGGAAACATGAGACAGGCAGTAATCAGATTTCTGCTTTGCAACCAACCAATAAACCCACAGAAGAAGACGTGATGTAGACGTAATGTAAAACTCAAACTTAATGGCTTTTTTTTAAACATCGCGCCACTTTACATGAAAATATGAACATCCATCATCTAGAAGATGAAGAATATTTAAGGCCTTCATTTCATCAAGCATGTAGTTGGTTTCAGCGTCGCTCCAAAAGTGTTTTGCTGCGTCTCGCGGCAGCGCTGCTTGCTTATTTCCAGTATTTCACAGTCTGATTCACACATGTGCAGACTGAGCAAGGCGAAAGAAATCAGAGTAAGAGTTTACACGCGCTGAGAAATCTGATTACTGAGTCTTTTTATCGGATTTCTTACCTTTCTTACCGGAGACCTTACTCTGATCTAAGAAATCGGAGTGTGCTGTTTACATGACCATTTGAATAATCAGATAACTGCAGAAATCTGATTATGATCGGACTATTGAGTGCATGTAAACACACTCAGTGTCTCAGGCATCATTCATAACCATTTCATGAAGTAACTTTCAGAGGCTTTAAACAAGAAACTTTACATCAAAATTTTACATCAAACAAGTCTGAATGACTTTGTTTATATCTTAACCATTTAATTATGCCACAAGTTTAAAAAATCAGTCGAACTCACTTTCAGTTAATCAGTTCATTACCAAACACTTCATGAAGTTACAAAATAAAAGTTTTAGAACTAAAATGTGAAGAGAAAGTGGTCCCTAGTGTAAGACTGGACTAGGACCCAGAGCATTAGAGCTTACAGTTTATGAAGGACGTCATACTGCATCATACTGTGTTGCTCCATTTGTTCTAAAGTCTTCTGATATGCCATTTAGTACTTTAGCCAAACTTTCCCACATGCATTACATCCACATAGACTGTTCTGTATCCACCACTGGTACTTTCCAAATCGCCCCTCAAACATTTCATGGAAAAACGCGTCACCCAGTTGGGTGTCTGAGACCACGTCCTCTGTTGGATGGCCTGTTGAATAAAATATGATTGTTTCAGGCCACGCTGTAACAATCCGAAAGGCTCTTTAGCGCGAAAACAAAGGCCGCAATGTCCATTGCCGATCCCGCGTGAAGAAGGGCACTGTCCAGTGCAGCATGGTGAGGGGCGTTCGGGATTCCACAGCGCATATCGCTGGAAGAAATGGATAATTGTTCGACCACGGGCGTCTGCCCTGCAGCTGAGAAATGTATGAATATTGATAAGAGCACAGCCGTCTGTGGGGGTTGAGAGAGTCCTTTGAGGCTGGCTAACATTGTATTCTGGTTTCACTAAGGGGGGAATTTGGTTTGTCTGGACCATCGATACTGTTCGTCCTGTTCTCAGGGACTGTGCTGGTAGATTGGGTGTGACAGTTGAGGCCCATAGACGCTCAGAGTAGTCAAAGACCGTCACTATAGAGTACCTTAATCAACGTGGCATGGCCATATCAGTGAATGGTCTTTCAACCAGAAGAGTGCAGCTAAACTCTTCATCTTAGACTCTTCCGTTAGAGGAGTTCAGCTAAAACTCTTCATCCTGAAGAATTCGGCTAAAAGTCTTCATCCAAAATTCAAGCCTGAAGACTTGATCCAAAACACTTCAGCCAGAGGAATTCAGCAAAACCTCATCCAAAACTCTTAAGTCAAAACTCTTCATCCAGAACACTTCAGCCAGAGGAGTTTAGCAAAAAATAATCCAAAACTCTTCAGCCAAAGCTCTTCGTCCAAAGCTCTTCATCCAGAAGGGTTCATATAAAACTCCTTTTCCAAAGCTTTTCAGCCCTTCATCTAAAACTCCTCAACCCAAAGAGTTCATCTAAAACTCTTCATTTAAAACAGTTCGGCCAGATAAGTTCAGCAAAAACTCTTCAGCCCAAAGAGTTAATCAAAAACTCGTCATTACAAGCTCTTCATCCAAAACTCCTCAGCCAGAAGTTCAGTTAAAACTCTTCATCAAAGATTCTTTAACTTCAGTCCAAAGTCTTCAGCCAAATCTCTTTAGTCAAAAGACTTCAAGCCAGAACTTTTCAACATAAAAAGTTCAGCTAAACTCTTCATCTAAGAGTCTTCACCTGGAAAAGGTCAGCTTAACCCTTCTACTAAAACTCTTCAGTCAGAAGACTTCTATTAAACTTATATTAAAACTTCTATTACCCATATAACACACCTGATCTATGTTTTTGTAAGTACCCATACTTGCATCATTTGTTTGGTGCTTGTATTGTATGTTGTCCTTTTACATAAGCAAAAAAATTCACAAGACTAAGACCTCATACACACAGGTGCATGTCGTCAATAGAGTGAATCTGATTGTGCTTCTGATTCAAATTCTGTTCGAGGAACTGATTGTATGTTCATAAAGCTGTCACAATTCATCTTGTGATGTTCTGCCCTGTAGGGCCATTTGATTCGGGCTTTCCTGGTAAAAGAGGTCTTGAACCTGTGAATTAGTAAAATTCCATTAAATCTATTCACAAATCAGAGAAAAGTGCCTCATCTCCATTAATCATCACTGCAGCGGCTCTCATACCACCGCTCTCGGTCTTTGACGCCATATCACAGCCCACTTAGACTTCCTACTAGCTGAGCTGATAAACATCTGCGGCAGAGCAGCTTTTAGAGGACAGGTTAAAGGAAGTGAGCGCAGCGTTTTAACATCTGATAAGGAGGCCAGGATAATGGAATAATAGCTTCAGTGTTTTTGACAGGTTCTTCCAGATGGTTGACCCACAGGTCTGAATGTTTTGATGACGCTTCATCTGAGGCTGTGACAGATTAACAGGTGAGCTATAAATGATTGTTTGTTACTTTAAGTAGAACAGCTTTAGTCAACAATGCCTCAGCACTCATTTCATTCCTTCAAGAAAAAAGCTGAAAGCTGTAGAACCAGTTTTGGTCCTGCGTGCAGGTCGGACGGTGGAAGGAGACACTTCCTTAGCTCTCGTGTCAGCCTTCCTCTACTGTACACTACATTTTAAGAGAGAGATTAATATCCCACAGACTACATGCTGGACTGATCTGGACACAAAGGTGAGTTTCAGTGGTCATTCTGATACAGTTCTGCTTTCTTAGTGTTATATGCTGAGTGTCTACAAGCGCATAGTGATTCAGCAAATGTCTTTTACTTGTAGGTTGTATTGTTTTTTGGTTATTTTTGTTCATTTTTTAGTATTTAAAACGTGTTGAATCAGATGTTGACTCAGAAAATATTAATATACTGTATACAATGTTCTGGAGTACATTAGGAGTAGATGTTCATATTTTATTATAAACAATACAGCATACATGTTTTCAAGTATGGCTTAATTTTTTGAAAACAAAAAAAAAAATTATATATATATACACACACACACACATATATATATATATATATATATATCCCAATCTGGAGCTCTTTTTAATTCAATTTTCAAGCAGAAAAATTAATAGACTGTACTTAAACACAAATCTTTGTTGTGTTTGAAATTGTGATAAATAACACATCTGTGCTCCGGCTTTTAAGTGTTACACTACAACAGGCTGCTCACATTCAGCACAGCAGAGTTTACTGGATTACTACAGCGATCTATAAGCTTCAGCTGGAGCTGTGACTCCGTTATTAAAATTCTGAAGTGTTACTGTAAATGTTTTTAATGTTTAAAAGTAAAGGTGCCAAATGGGTTCTTTGCACCATTGGAGACCCATCCTAACCAGTGAGATGTGTGTGAGAAGAACCTTTTTAAAGTTCAAAGAACCTCCACATAATGTAAAGGTTCTAGGAAGAACCTTTAAATTGATAAAGAACCTTTACATTATGTGAAGGGTCACTAATCCTTCAAATCAGGGCTGCCCGCAGTATGCAGTGGGCAGTGTGCAGTGCTAAAGAATATGATGTCTTATTTGACTGAAAACATTTATAGCATTATTATTATTATTATTATTATTATTTATATATTGTATATGACATGTACAGTCGTATGCAAAAGTTTGTACACCCCCAGTCAAAAGACGTTATTGTTGATTTTAAGTTAAATAAGTGTAAATAAGTTAACAGCTCCTCTTCAGAGAACACAGTTAAATATGATATCAAAGTTTAGTGCACAATTTGTATTTATTTGCTGAGATTAAAACACTGGAAAAAAAACTAAACATAAAATATAATATGTGCTATAACTTTTGCACAGGCCACACTTTATGGCTTATTTGTTCCTTTATATAAAATTCAGTAAACAGTAGTTGTGTATTAAAATGTGCAGAAGTGTGTTCTCTGTAGAGGATATATATACTTATATATTATAACTTATATTATAACTTATATATATGGTTTGGTTCCGAGACTAATCACAGATCATTTTCAAGAATTTTTCATTTTATGATACACATTGTTGGGCATGACTTTACACTTACAAAAAATTATAATAATGGAAAATAATAATAATGGGATATTATGATTAATAGCACCTTTATTAGAGAAAGGAAGTGTAGGTTAGAGTTACATCAGCTGTTATTCTACACTCTTAAAAAGATGATTCTTTAAGGGTTCTTCAAGTGAATCAAAGGTTCTATACAGACACATGAACACTCCAAGAACCTTTCGCATGTTTAAAATTTTTTTCCATGCTTAAATGGTTCTTCAGATTGATGGAGGATGTCCTGTAGATGGTCCTATATAGAACCTTTTTGAAAAGGGTTCTAAATAACACCAAAAAGGGTTCTTCTATTTCTACGATCTCAAGCTTGTAACAATAGAACATTTTTTTTGTGCTATATAGAACCCTTCTGAAAAAGGTTCTGTATAGAACCATCTACAGCACATTCTCCATCAATCTGAAGAACAATTTTACGATGCAAAGAACCCTTTTAATTATGTAAGTGTTATTTTAGTGTTCATGGTTCTATATAGAACCATTTACTTTACTAAAGAACCCTTGAAGAGCCTGTTCTGCGAGTGTATATGTCATCTAAAATGGGTTCTTCTATTGTTACAAGCTTGATATCATAACAATAGAAAAACTCTTTTAGGTGCTGTCTAGAACCAGTTTCAAAAATGTTCTATATAGAACCATATACAACACGTTCACCATCAGTCTGAAGAACCGTTTCAGCATGCAAAGTGTTCTTTGAGTGTTAATGGTTCTGTCATTTAATAAAGAACCCTAAAAGAACCACCTTTTTTAAGAGTGTACTCAAAAACCCATCATATTCAAACCTTGTTACAAATTGATACACAGGATTTTGGAACAAAGCTCTTCATATATATATAGTGTTATGTACAGAACATATATATGTACTGTAAATGCTGTCAGTGAGTAGAACAGCAGACTGTATTTTGACATGTTTTAACAATACAAAACTCTGAAATCTGGACATTTTCTACTGTAGTTATGATGAAATAGTAAAAGTACATTCATGTTCTGTGAAGTATTTCACTGCAGGAAGCTGCTCACATTCAGCCCAGAAGAGCACTGGATGAGTTGGATGAGTGTGAGGGTTTCTGACCGGCGGTGGGCCGTGAATGTGGGCCCCCGTGGTGCAGCATTGAAAGGCTAATTCCCTCTGTGTGTCCTCGCTTTCCTTAAAATCTGCCACAAAGCGCCTTGTGGAGAAGGAGGAGTCCCAGAGGATTCTGAAACTGGCTCCCGTACCTCCCCCGGTCCGACCGGTTCAAACCCCCCTCCAGCTTTACTCTTTTACCCTAAACACAAACACCTCCAGGCTGATGACGCTGCTGTCTCTGATCCTCTTCTTGAGGCTCAAGGCTGTCTTCACTGGTGGAGCCCTGTTATCTCCTCTGGGGATAAGTAAGGATAATGTGTGTTCATGCTCTGCACTGCAGTGAGGCCTGGAGCGTTCCAGTGAACTCCATGCTGAATGTGAGCAGCTTAAAATGTGAATGTAGTTATATTATGTCAGCGTAACTGCAGCACAGTCTGAATTATGCGTTTAGTGTGTCGAGATGACTGACAGGTTGCTGCAGTTTATACTATATTTATAGTAAAGAAAGTGTTATACAGCCTTGGCAAGGCTGAAATGTACAGTATAGCATAGTATAGTACCGTGTAGTATAGTATATTACTGTATAGTATAGTATAGTGCAGTATAGTGTACTATAGTATACGATGGCATGGTATGGATGCATCATTAAGAAGACCATGCTGCCATGTTGGTGGGCAAGCTGTAACTCTGACTCGTCTCATTACTGTTACTGCAGCTACAACCCTGCAAGTGGCTGAAGACCAAAGGCAAAATAGCAAAATAGATCAGAATAACCATAACAAGATATGTGAACATTTTAGATGCAGTCTCCAAAAATACGCTACAAAGAGAGGATGAACTTATTCAGATTGGTGGACTGGATCCGTATAACCTGCACATCTCCAGTTTACAAAAACTAATAAAAGTAGCTGTGAAAGCTCTTAAATAGCAAACTCATACACAGACATGAAGCTGAAGTCAGCTTCTCATTTGAATTTTCCATTCCACCTCAAATGGCGCTGCAGTCACACTGAGGTTTCTTAAACGTAGAACAAATTACGAAGATGGCTCATACAAAGCCGTCATCAGCTTACCTCAATAAATGCATTCATTTACCTCAATAAATGCATCATCAGTCAACAAACCCCTCAAACTTTCTCTTGGTGGTGTTTAATGAGCAGCTAGCGAGCAGCACAGCAGAGCAGCTGTTAAATGCATCTCACTGGCTCATCTAACGCTGCGTCCCAAACCACACACTTCTGTACTTCACCTAATACACTAATAAGGGCACTTCTAATGGTATATTCACTATTTTTACACAGTATTTAGTGAACTAGTACAGTTTGGGATGGGGCGCTGGTAACACAGCGGAAATCTCAGCCATTTAAATTTTCAGCTTTAATTTGTTGTCACTACAGCAACAATTCAAATAAAATTAAGGCAATATACTCAAATATGTTCGTTAATACGCTTTGTGAACATGTGTAATACGCTGAATGAACATGATGTTGCCTACCAAAATGTTGGCAGCACAATTGTGACGTCATCGGAATACCATCAATTATACAGTATAGTATGGCATGACAGTATGGTACAGTATAGTATAGTAAGTATGTACAGTATAGTACAGTACATTATAAGACAGTATGGTATAGTACAGTATAGTAGAATACAGTATAGTAAGTACAGTAGAGTATAGAATAATATTGTATAGTACAGTGTAGTACAATTTAGTAATGCAGTATAATAAAGTATAGTACAGTGAAGTGTATAGTATACTATACAAAGGAGTTTTATAGATTTACTGAAAATTAATGTTAAACTTGTTTAAATTGGTCACGTTTAGTACATAAATGTGTCTAAAATCACAAGCAAACATTTGGGCCACAACTCACCTTAATATTATTGTAATAAACTAAGTAATACACTAGTAATATGCTTACTAATTATTTTATTATAAGTAATATACTTATTTTATCTGCTTTTCACAGCACTATGAAAATCCTTACATGTTAAATAAATAAAAACTTAAATATAGCAGTTGTCCTGCAAATTTCAGTGCAACATTTCTGTTTATTTAGTTTAACATATTGAAAAAATGAAACATAAAATATAAAATGTGCCATAACGTTTTGTACAGGCCACATTTTATGTCATTTTTTTTTTTTAATTTAGCAGATGAACAGAAATTGTGCATTAAACCGTGTAGAAGTGTGTTGTCTGTAGAGGATGTATTCACTTATTTTCATCTAGAAAATCAACAAAACAAATCATCAGGGGCACCCAAACTTTTGCTTATGACTGCATCTCTATTTAAAGTTTTACTCTTTGTACAACAATTCAAGATGAATGGACAAATATAAATGCTTCAAAATGACCTGGAATAAACCTGTCTAAAATGAGCTTTCATGAAAAGTGCGGTGTGTTTTTGCCCTCTCTAGTGTGAAGTTCCTACTCTGGAGATGATACTCAGCATGCACTCAAGAACATTTCGCAGTGAGCTCAGTAATGTTGGTCTGGTCTTGTCCTTCAGCTACACACCAAAAGGCCTGCTGTCCATTATTATCCTCCACTGCCCATACTTAGCCTTTCTGCTGACTTAAGTCATGAACTGCATGAGCAGATGGCACACGCTCAGGCAAATGGCAGCATTAAACAGGCTCATCACCTGCATGGCCACTTAACGTAAACACTGAGCAGTTTCAACAATCAAAGAGGAAAACTGCTGACATCATGATGAGTAAAGGTGGCCTAAAAATATTCTACATAATGTTTTAACCATCAGAGCGTTCAGAACTAGTTTAATTAGCCTATCAAATGGCCAGGGCCTGCTGACAGGTCCAGACTTTTATTACACACTTCTATAATTTAAGAATAACTCAGTCAGTTTGAATTGTCTTCCATGTAATTACTGTGTAATAACACATATGCTGTACTCAGTCTGGGATTTTAAAAGAGTTCTACCTTTTACTTAATAATTTTGTTGCCTGGTCAAGTTAACGCAGTACTAACACACAACAGGGCTGCTCTCTTATGTAAAGACAAAACTTTAATATCCTCATGAAATTAATTAATTTATTATTATTATTTTATAATTTAAAGGGGGATTCTTCCAACTTGTATTTAGATAAGTGTTTATACATCCTAGTGGATTTGTATTTTAGCACCAGAAGGCAAAGGTAAAACTATGAAGTCTGTGTCTGTTTTTACCAACACCCACTTTTGTTTTAAGTTGGTTAGGAGTAACTGAAACTCTTTTAGAACAGATAAAAGACGTTTCGACGGCTCATTTCTTAACTGAGGCATTGTTATGCTAATTATGGTTCACCGGTAGTAAACTGCTTCAAGTGGAGAGCGTGAGGGTGACAGACAACAGGCGGGATTTATTTTCCCACCTGTATTCAGACAACCCCCGCCCCCTGCACTCTGACTGGCTGGCAGTTCACCCTTCCATGTTGCCCGATGATTGGACAGCTGGTTTATACTTTGTTAATACATATTTTAATATATGTTAAACGTGTTAACTAAATGTTTTGATGCAACGTGTGAATTGTAACCGAAAACCTTACTGTTTATTCTTCGGTGGTGTAAGAAATAACTGAATGTGTTGCCTGCGCAGGACAATCAGAGGCTATTAGCGATATATTTCGAACTATTTTACTGTTTTAGCTCTTATATAAAACCACAGTTTCTTTATTGGGCGAACTTGTCCTGTAATCTCCAGTGTGTGAAAGTTAACGTAAATAAAAACCGCTAAAAACTTTAAAAAGGTTCTGTTTTTAGTGTTTTTAGCCGGCGTTAGCTTCACTGGTTTCAATGGTTGTCATGGTGACGCAGCGAAGGCCGGGGGAGGGGTGAGTGTTAGCTTCCAGCCAATCGTTGCGCAGGAGGGGTGGGTTTTGTCGGAATACAGGTGGGGAAAAAACAGCGCGGCCGTTTTCTGTCTCTTCACGTCCCAGTAGCTACAGCTGAGACGGCAGAGCAGAGCGAGTGTAGGCGGATTTAGCCGAGCTTGGCGCTCATGCCATTCAGAGCACACCGCTACAAGGAGACGATGCGGTGAACAGAGTCGACGTCGAGTTATTTCATTCTGCTGCTGAATCACTTTAGTGAGTTTGGGGGCGATCCTGACATGCACCGACCTCCAGGTACTGCATCTTCCTCCTCAGTCTTCCTCAGTTTTACCTTAGCTTTGAAACTAACACTGCTGAAGAATTGACTTGTGTTCTCATGTAGTTAGAAAAACAAGCGTGCGGAGCCTTTAAGTGCGTTTAAAAGGAGACATATGTTGAGATTTGTGTGTGCGGGCGTTTGTATTTGGCACTTTGTGGGCACCAAAAGTTCGCAGGATGTTGTAGGGACGTTTGCACGTTTTTATGGCTCTCTCAGGTTTTGTTTTTCAAAGAAAAGAGGTTGGTTGAAGCTAATCCCATGATAATAACCCCACAAAGACGGAAATTAGAGTTGTCTGCACTGTAAAAGTTTTTGTTGTTCAGACTTAACAAAGTCCATAACCTGAATGCCTTAATATTTTGAGTTTATTGAACCTCTAATAGTAAGTTACACTACATTTTAAACCTTTGGAATCACTGTTTTACTCATATAAAACCTATTTTTTGCAGATACTAATGATGCTAATAGTCTTATATTGTCATACAATATGTAGGAGGCTGATGGCATAAAAACTGAGAAATCTGTGAGAATATATCCAGATTATTTTTGAAAAGCTGTGACCAAATCTAATAAACAACTGCAGCTTATTACCTAATAACATATACTAATGTTTGTCACAACCTCTTGTTGTTCCCAGCATATTTTCAATTGTGCATATATTGCGCTCTTATTTTATCACATTCAGTCTAAACTGTGTAAGTTATTATTGTATAACACGTGACTGTATTAATATATGACTATACATGCATGATCCCAAACTTATATACTTGTTATATAATCTGTTTACAGCTTATTATGAGAAATTAGTTAAATCTAAATTTTTGTAGTTTTTTTAAGTTTAATCATGTTTACAGTGTTTGTGAATGTAGCTTGCTCTGTAGTCTATGATTGCTATTCTAGTCGTGTTGTTGTTGTGCTATTTTTATAAATTAAGTTGGCGTAGACTTTGAAAATTTACACCACTGACTCAAACCGCTCCAAACATCTGCTCAAATTCAAATAGTCGGACCCTCAGTTAGCGTTCACCTGAGGCTATATCGGTTAGACCTGTCTGTGCTTGAAGATTCTCCTAGTTTTTGAGGTTGTTTCTTGGAATAATTTGCTTGCCAGTCACCACTGTCACACTATTGATAGGGGTTAATTATAGAAGAGTGCTTAATGTCCCTGTCACAGTGTCTAGCTTGGGTCATAATGGGAACCAGATCATGCTTCGCCCAAATCCCTCAGTGATTATTTGCTTGAATGTTGGGCAAACACAACGGCCTGTGTTGCTACTGGGTATTCCCACCTGAAGCTGATCCAGGGGGCAACAGTGAAGAATATGCTTAAAACAAAGCGTTGCCAGTCAGTTACCACACCATACTCTATAACAAATAATGATGTGGCCTTTAAAGCTACCAAAATATACTCTAAATATCGGCTAAGATATTGTGCTGTGAGTCAATTGTCATTCAGCTCATATACAAGTATATAAGTGGATGAAAAACTGTGTATTTTTTTGCCCCAGTGCAACAGATAATAAGCAAACAGTTACTGCACACAGTAATACAATTGAAACCAAGGTGACAATAATATTAAAGCCGTAGGACGAAGTGTGGTGCAGCGTATGATCTGGTATGAGTGAATGTTCTGAGCTCATTTC